TTTTTTTTTTTTTTTTTTGAGTAGATGTCTTTACTTCAGTCAAGGTGGAGAATGTCTTTTTGCTGGTTGCCATGATGTATTAAAAGTCTATGGTTGGGAACCAGGTAGAACATTAGATTCTATTCCAACTGGCTGGGGAAAGGTACAGGATATAGCTATCGCTCAGAATCAGCTGGTAAGTTGATTTAAATAGTTTGTTGTCTACACAATGATTTATAAATTAAGATTTTTATTTATCGTTTATTTAGATTGGTGCAAGCTTTCACACTGCAAATATTGTCCTGTATGTGTGCGACTTAAAAAAAATTGCTCCATTAGGAGGAGTCTCAACGACATCTGGCTCTCCATTTAGTCACGGGAATTCGTTACGGAAAAGTTTTTCTAGGGAAAGGCCACCTGGATTAAAAAAGCATACGTAAGTTTAAATAAATAAGTCTCATATATTTTGTTATAGATTTCTATCAAATGTTTTGCTTACAGATTAGATGTACGAACCATAGAAGAAGCAGACAAGTCTGGAACTGATCCTGAAGATGAAGCAACGTATGCAGATATTCCTAATGTCACTGAATATCGCGATATTTTTCAACCTAACAGGTCATGTAAGTAAAACATCACTACTTATTCTTTATTGCAAGATAAATCTGTGTCTCATAACATATTCAAGTTCTGTTTTTGTTCTAACTCTTATTTACTCGCCTATCATCACGAATCTGAAAATACAAATGCATCCTGAATATGAATGTTGTGCTGTATGGTTTGTGAATGAGCATGCTACGCACGATATGTTTCAGTGTCTCGCACTCCACCTCCAGAACCTGAGGCTTTCCCGGAGCCTCAAGATGTGGGTGAGTTCTGTATCAAAATAAAAACTTTCCGCTTACTTCTCTCTTTTATACCAATACTGCATGAATGTCAATGTACAAATATCTGTGTATATCAGGTGAAACGTTCAACTTCAACATACTTCCGCGTTTCTTTTTACAGATCCTACGCAACCGCAGATACTGCAAAATCTTTCTACCTCAATGTCAAACTTAAACACGGTGGATACAGAAGAAGTGCCACCTATCTCATCACCGTCATCACCACCTCCACCCGCACCAACGTTATCGTTAACAAAGCCTGTACCAGTTCGTGTTCAACCGATTAAATCGTCACCGCCAGTTCAAAGAAATGCAATTACGAGTACTAGCCAAATAAAAGCGAATCTTCAAGCTAATAACGGCCTTGGCAGAACATCGAAAAATCTCGCGTCTATACCACCTCTAAGACAAAACATTACACCTCTTCCTGGGAAAAAAAGCGGTCCTACTAGTGATATAGGAACACTTCCACAACCTTTGGGCCCGCAAAGATCAAATTCTACGCTGACACCACGTGTAGCACCAATGGCTGCTGTTCTTCCAGTAATGGACGATGGAAAATTAAAGAATAGAGCACCTAGCCCGGATTCTCCTAAACATTATTTGAAAAGACAAAGTAGCTGTAGAGACGGAGAACAGGGTTACGAAAGCGATTACCCGGTACAGTAAGTATAGACACTTGCAGCGTGTAGATATTAGCTTGTTACGCAACAGTGATAATTATCAGAAACGCGTTTAACATTCTTGCAGAATTAATAGTATAAGGCACAGCCCCTCCGATCCTGCGTTAAACAGGCCAAATTCTGCGCAATCTAGGTCCACTTCGCTGAACAGAACCTTTGCTACCTCAACGTCGCTGTCCGCGCGCAACGCTTCCACAACCACAACATTCGTCGCAAAGAAATCAAACAAAGCTCAAGTGTCCCCGAATCCTAAGTTAGAGGTTCGCGCGTCTCAGATAAGGCCGAACGTCGAGAATACGGATAAAGGAGAATTCGTTCCCATAAGTGCCGATAAACCGTACGGTTTGGATGTAGAAACTTTTCTACCAGTGAGTTTTTATTATCAAATCCATAAATGTACGAATGTGGGTTTGCGAAATGATCTTGTAAAATTGTATCCTTCCTTTCTTATTTTCCTGACAGAATCATTATGCAAGTTCAGCCGGTTTGGGTTACTCTCAAATAGGAGTTCTCAACGAGATGTCGGAAGCTGAAGTACTCAATAGCATGATGCGCGGTCATGAATCGATGATGGCGGTGCTTACAAGTCGCCATCGTTCCTTACAAATTATTTATTCTCTATGGCACAATAAAGATCTTAAGGTATAATTTGTTCAGCTTTCGTTATTACACAGTAAATAAGACAAGATTATAAATGAGGATTAAATTTTCAGGCTGCGGTGGATTCTGCTGTGGCAATGAACGATCTTTCAGTTATTGTCGATCTATTGGGAATACTGACATTAAAACCGTGAGTATATGATTTTATATGAATTGCAGAAAATTATCAGTTCTCAGTCTTTATGG